GCACTGAGTTGCCGCCATGTGATTGGCTGATTAGAAATTAAGTGTTAACGAGCAGTTGGACAGGTGTACCTAATAAAGTGGCCGGTGAGTGTATATTCAGCCTACCCGGACTTTAAAGAGTGCGGCTTCCATGAGCCGCAGTCTACGGGGGCTACAACCCTTGAATTGAGGCACAACTGGTGTGGATGAAAATGGGCAGAGGACTGTATGTGCCGAGGCTGCTGGCAGTCCAGCCACTGAGAATTATCAGGGCTATATTTGACCAGACACCCTGATACATTCAGCAGCCTTGGTGTCTTCATCATAGTCACAGATTGTCTAAAACTGTAGCTAACATTAGCTAATATTGTGTTCTTTCACACTGATATGTACACTTTTTAGAGATTTTGTTATAAGCCTGAAAATTTCGTTTGGTTAGCCATTAGCCTAAACCGGATGCAGACTTTTGCCTCTTTCTCCATACTCCATAAWCTGTGACTGCAGTTTTCCTCAGACATAATCACAACTGATATGGCAGATGTTTACATGTTTGGCAGAACATTACTTCAAAGTTGACACTTKCGTAGAGGAAGTGAAACTTTTATGAATGTGGCTCAAAGGTCTCATTGGTTGTAAAAGACAGGATTTCATGATTTCAACACACTTGTATTTTCTGTTCTCTGCACACAGAGCATACTGAAGCGCAGGCGGAGTAAACTTCAGCAAGAAATTCACAACAGGTGGAGTAAAGTTCACGAAATGAAGCGGTCTGAAGAGCTCGGTGGAGAAAACCCACAAGCATCGTCGTGGACGCAAAATAAAAAGCTGATCGAGCAGCTGGAAGGAGAACTCTGTGAGCTGCAGGAGAGAAACACCCAAMTGGAGCACCTTTCACAGACTGAAGACAATCTGCACTTCTTACAGGTGTGCACTGAAATATCAACACACCAGTCAATATATACAGTATATTTGTAGCAKTAAATTAATGTTTTTATTCTGTTTTGTCTCTGCAGAGGTTCCAACATCCTTACTCATGACTGAAAACATGAMCTGCTTTCAAGTTTTCTCTCTTTTTGACATTTTGGACAGAAATGTGCAATAATTATTTTAAAAATGTTTTTATTACCGTAATGTCATGAAAATAAGAATCATTAACACTTTATTGCTCAGCAACAATCACTTAGTACAGGAAAAAAGTGGTTGCCATTTATGCCAAAAACACCATAATTTAGGGGACAAACTAAAGGGAGATGTTATAGGGTCTTTGTTGGTGTTTTGTCTTGTTCAAGAAAAACAAATTAATTAGGGAGATTTTTTTTTTACCAAATTATTTTTAGTAGGAGTTCAAAACAGCATCATGCCTGGTGGTCACTTCATACTCATTTTGACGTGTGCACAAAAGAAGTCTGCCGCAGGTTTCCTCAGGTACGACGTGAGCACCAAACCTCTGCCAGCATTCATGCCTGTCTCAGTTCTTTTTGTTGCCAATTTAAACACTTGAGTCACTTTAGCTGARCCGTGAATGACACTGAACGTAGCATTTTGTGTCACAATGTCGTTTGACATGTTCAGCCTCTTTCTATGAGCCAGTGTGATCTACTTTATTAGAATGGATGTTGCAGTCCATTCCCCTTTGGTTGGACCACGGACTGTAGGGAAACAAACACTGATTTAAAGGCACAGTGTGTAGGATTTTGTCAATTCTTTTAGCCGAAATTGAGATAATCACTAATGACAATAACAAAAAACGTGTCTAATCATTGCAGACAAAGACCTTGTTTTATTATTTTTACCTTATAAAAAGCTGTTTATATCTCCATGGTCGCGGGTCGTCCAGCCATCTCGCACCACCATCTTGTCTACGAAGGCTCATGAAG